TTGTAGCCTGTCCTGGAACTAGCTCTGTAGACCAGGCTGGTCTTGAACTCACAGAGATCCGCCTGCCTCTGCCTCCCAAATGCTGGGATTAAAGGTGTGCGCCACCACGCTTCTTGAACCTTCGAAAGAATATTTTTCTTTAGGTTGGGAAAGTTTTCTTCTATAATTTTATTAAATATATTTTCTGGACCATTGAGCTGTAATTCTTCTCCTTCTTCTACCTCTGTTATTCTTAGGTTTGGTCCTTTTATTGTGTCCCAGATTTCCTGAATGTTTTTTGATGAGAATTTGTTGGTTTTGCTGTTTTCTTTGATCAGTGTGTTTATTTTCTCTATGGTATCTTCAGTGTCTGACATTCTTTCTTCTATCTCTTTTAATCTGTTGGTAGTATTTGTCTCTGTAATTCCTGTTCATTTACCCGGATTTTCCACCTCTATGTTTCCCTTGGTTTGTGTTTTCTTCATTACTTCCAGTTCATTCTTCAAGTCTTGAACCGTTTCCCTTACCTGTTTGATTGCTTTTCTTGTTTCTCTTGGTTGTCTTGGGTATCTTTAAGAGATTTATTCATTTCCTCTACCTTTTTGTTTGTCATCTTTATTTTTTATAGCAGTTTTTCACCTCATGTTTAAGGCCCTCTATTATTTTCATATAATTCCATTTTGAGTCGATTTCTTCTAATTCTTCGGGAGTAGGGTGTACAATTCTTCTTATTTCGGGATCCCTGGATTCTGGTGATGTCATGTTACCTTTCAGGTTGTTAGAGGAATTCTTGCATTGGCACCTTCCCATCTCTTCCTTCAAATGGAGCCAGGAGAGACCTGGTATCTTGTTCCAGTCTTTGCTGTGACTGACTCTCTGGGTGGATCTCCTCAGTGTAGAAGCAGGAACCATTCCCCTACAGATGGAACTCCTCAGCACCAAAACCTGGATGCCTAGTAGTCCAATGACTCGCGGACAAAAGGTTGAACTTGGGGGGCAGGGCGGGGTCCATTAGAGCACAGGAGACCCTTCAGCACAAGCTGAAGTTGCCCACGTTCCCTTTCGGGGGTTTTAGAGGCCTGACCGATAGGCAGGCACTCACTTCTCTGGGTGGGTAGCCTTAGTGTAGGAGCAGGAAACTGTTCCTGATAAAAGGACCTTGAAAACAGCACATGCTTGGGGACAGGGTAGTGTGTAAGAAAGACAGCCCTGCAGCAGGAGCTGGGGAAGGGGGGTTTGTGCTCTCTTCTGGGACAGTCCGTCCCTGGATAGCACACACTCACCCGTCCAGATGGAACTCCTCAGCCCCGAAACCACTGCTAACCAATCTTAACTTAATAGAGGAAATGACTTATTTAGGTTATAATCCACTATTCAGGAAGCAAAGTTACGAATTGCAGCAAGAATATGGAGGCAGAACTGAAGCAGAGACTGTGAAGGAACACTACTTTTTCCTAAAGGCTTACTAAGCTTGTATCTTTATACAGCCCACGTTGTCCTGTGATAGCATTGCCAAAATGGAGTTCACATTGACCATTAAGCAAGAAAATCCACTCAGGAACAATGGCAATGGGTTTTTTATCCTACTGCACATATTGGCTTTGTGAGAGCCTAGGCAGTTTGGATGCTCACCTTACTAGACCTGGATGGAGGTGGCTGGTCCTTGCACTTCCCACAGGGCAGGGAACCCTGATTGCTCTTTGGGTTGACGAGGGAGGCAGACTTGATTGCGGGAGGGGGAGGGAAATGGGAGGCGGCGGTGGGGAAGAGACAGAAATCTTTAATAAATAAATAAATTAATTAAAAAAGAAAAAGAAAAGAAAATCCAATGATTTGGAGACAATTCTTTAATTGAGTTTACCACTTTTCCAGTGATTCCAGTTCGTGTCAAATTGACAAAAACTAACCAGCAAAACAGAAAAAAATGTTTTACATTTACAACATTATTACTTGTTGAAAAATGGTGACTTGCCCATTTCTCTGGAATTGTCTTAACCATTGCTTAACATAGGAGAATTTAACTTTAATGATTCCCACTCCATCGGTGTTTATTTTCTATAATGTTAATTTAAAATGCAGTTCAAGAAGTAAAAGAAATTATTTCTAAGCATTCTATCATGTGTGCAATGAGCCCATTATTAAGTCTCCTGTTTGTAAGAACATTAGAAATCTCCATTAGAATTAATGTGTTCAATTTATGTGTCTATATAGACTGAGTGAAAAGACATAGAAACAGGGAGATAAGTGGTGTTATTATAAGTTGAATATAATGAATTAGTCAGTGTGTTGCTTCATAACTACTACTCCATGTATTTATAGGTCTCATATTAATTAATAATTTCATTTCCTTCATAAAATTCAATATTTTCTGCTGGGTTTTATCCAAGTGCTAGTGCCTTAACATTTGTCAACAATGTTAAGAACCTAGTTTCAATTATCAAGAATGCCAATAATGAAGAAATTAAGCAAAATCATAACAATTCAACATTTTCTGAGTTAAATAATAACCTGATATTATTAGTATTTTGAGATTTGATTATGTATGAATTGAAAATACTTGAGAATTTATGTAAACATATGAGGAATCACCTCTGTGAGTTTTCACTCACTTCTACTTATAATTAATTAATTTGACTCACTGTAGACTCAATTACATTATTGTTTGGAAAATACTACACATAGAGAATCAACTGTAGCTTTTCTCATTCTAAGTTTCAACATACCATAACAATTTAACATGACACAGTAATTCAATAATGTAAAAGATACATAAAGATAATCTTGATAATTTGTGGTTTTCTGATACTATTAAAATATTATTGAAATAATTTAAAATTTAGAAAAAAGTTAAAATGAGACTTTTGGGTATGTATTGAAAATTGGTTAAGATTAAAAGATGTAATGCTAATATAATTAGTAAAAGGTGACATACAAGACAACACTTTCAATGTGCTTTTACAAATAGATCAACATGGTTAGAGACCATGTAATGTATACTTGTATTAATTTACTTTTCACACTTTTTAGAGTCAATGTTACATAGTTTAGGCATACAGGTCAAAGTTATAAAAAAGTTATCTATGGGAGACTTTAATGCCAAATTTGTATAACATATGAATTGAGTATGGACAAAAGAAATGCCTGATGGAAAAGAGGAAGCACTTTTTCTTTATGCTTTGCACGCCCTCTTGTGGCTGGAGAGAGCTATATCATGTACATATTTAATTCTTCAATTCTTTATATTTTTTAACTCTTTTGTCTTGTATAGCAAACCTATGGTTGATAATGCTTTCCAGTGTTCCTAATTATGTATTTTACACAATAACACATTTTATTAATGCCTATTGATTTTCATTGTCATATTACTGAATTTTACCTCTCATTTTTCTTCCTAAATCTCCTAAGATATGATCCAAAAAGTGATTCGTGGTCAACTGTGGCACCTTTGAGTGTTCCTCGTGATGCTGTTGCAGTATGCCCCCTTGGAGACAAACTCTATGTGGTTGGCGGATATGATGGTCATACATATCTGAATACTGTTGAATCATATGATGCTCAGAAAGATGAATGGAAAGAGGTATTATAGTAAAAATCTTCATGTTATTTTATTTCAGAATTTAATGAGTTTTTAAAGCATAGTTTTGGGAACAATTTCACATTATTACTCTGTACAGACACATCAGATATTTTCTTAGTAGACAAGTACCCAAGAGTCCTAGATTCTGACTTTGGATCTATCACTGTCTTGTTTGATCACTCAGAGCATAAAAGAACACTAACAAAAAACTTTAAGTAGTAGTATCATTAGCTGTGCGAAAAAGCACAGTTGAAAAACAGAAAATTTTCACAAAAGTAAAAACTTAATGCCAAAGCACCTGATCTTCCAGAAGCCATCTAGTAGCATTCTACAGTCTTCATTGATCTGAGCTGCAATTTTCTTATTTAAGGACAAGGCAAAAGTTGGGTCAAGGCAGGTAAAAATTCTGGGTTATACTAAAGGCAGTGTTTCTTTTTTATTTGTGTTTTAGGAAGTCCCTGTGAATGTCGGGAGAGCCGGAGCATGTGTTGTAGTTGTGAAGCTACACTGAAACTCTCATTGGCTAATACAATGGAATAGAATTATCTCAAGAATGAAGAAGAAATATTCTCTTTTCAGAAGTTGATAGCAGATTCAAATGCTGTTGTGTTGTTTTCACGTGTAGTTGAAATTGTTAACATTCATAAGGCTGAAAAATGTGGATTACATGTTACTGTTGAGTATATGTGCTGTCTCAGCTTATAATCTAATGCAAAATCCCATGGGCTATCTTTAGCCTCATTAGCATAAAATGTTAAAGTACCTAACAAACATTTGGCAGTGGGCAGTATTTGAAGGTGATGAATGCATTAACAGTTTTCGTGTAAGGGTCTAGGAAGTAAAAACATTTTCTATTAAAGGTACTCTACCATCTGGAATAACTTAATAAAAAAGAATGACAGAAGCTTTAAAGCATACTGTCTTGTTTCAAACAATAGCTCACCTAGCTAATAATACCTTACATATGCCAAGAAGAAAGTGTTTTCTTTGTCAAGCAAGAAACAGGTCATTCAATGATATAATTTCCTATACTAATTACACAATGTCAAACTTTTCACAGGCTATTATTTTCAGTTAACTTCCTGATAAAATATGTATATAAATTTTCTATCCCATGACATGGTGTGTTGATAGATTCATTTGCAGTAAAGTATCATAATGTTGCATATACAATCTATCATCTGTAACAGTGAATATTATATTGTTACAAACTTTGCCTGAGGGCCTCATTGTACAGAAGTTTATTCTCTCCTCAAGCATTTAATATTTTCTCAATAAACACCTTCCATTATGTTAAAATTTGATCTAAACAAAGTTAAAATTGAGAATATGATGCACAATATTAACAACAGAAACACTAAAAGTTTAACATACAGAGTCAATTCTATAATTTCTCTATACCTATCTATACCTAATCTTCTTTTAATTTCATAATCATGTTTACCTAGCAGTAAATAGTAAAGACACATGTACTACAAAACTACACTTTTGAAAATAAAAATAAAAGAGTATTTGAGTATTACTTTAGCTTTTATTTTATTTTTATTTACACTACTTAAAGATAAAACATTATGGTGAAATATTGAAAACTCATGTTTTTGAAGTTAACTTTTCAAGTAAATGTTCAATTTTTGAATTTCTATAATACTTCTCATAAATGAACTTTCTGTTTTAGAATATCAAAACAAAGAACAAAATCCAGAGTGATGCTTATAAAATGCTACTTACTACCTATTTTTATTTTTAAATCACAGCATATGTTGAAAAAAGGTATTTGTACTTTGGCAAATTGAATTTAAATAAAATCTTTTCCCTCTGACTATAATGATTGTCATTCTAAAATATGCCCAGTGCAAGTTGTGTGATTTTTCTGATGCTGTAGTGCCCCCAAAGCAAAAATATTTTAATGCTAATACACAATTCCCCTCCTTTGTTTCTCATTTTGTCTATAATTCTCAACAAAGTGGGGCAGACTTCTTCACATCAAAGGTGGCATAGAAAGGTTAGCATACACAAAAAAGAAACATAAGACATTTCTGGATTGTAATGTTTATTTTAACATTTTTAATTATACATACTAATACGTTGTATTTATACATGACATTTCCTACATGTACATAAGGCATGTTTATCATATTAATCCTTTATATACCATCTCTTTTCTTCCCTTTCTCCTACTAACCTCCTCTCTCTCCTTAGCTAGCTCTTTCTTTAATAACTTTTATATTTACCTTTTTGAACTCACTGTAAACAAATGAGTTCCATTAGTGCTATTTACAGTAGCATGGGTGACAGGTTGGTTAGAGGTTTTAAATTGTATTTTTATCAAATTAATGTGAAAGTACAAATGTCACAAGTCTTTAACCCCATCACAATTTTTTCCTCATGAATATGAACACGTTTGAAATGGAGAACACAGATTTTATTTATTTTGCATTTTATTTTAAAAAAACTATCTTTTTTTCATTTTACATAACAATCCCAGTTTCCCTCTCCCCTCTTCCCATTCCCTCCACCTTCCTCCCCACACCCCATCCTCTCTTCAGAGAGGGTAAGGCACATTGCTTTAAGGAAAAACCAAGGCCTTCCCTACTATATCTACACTGAGTAAGGTATCCCCTCCAGAAACAATGGATTTTTAAAAAGTCAGTACAAGCAGTATGGATAAAAGCTGGTCCCATTGCCAGTGGCCCTGTAGTCTGCCACAGCCATATAACTGTCACCCACATACAGAGGGCTTAATTTGGTCATCTGCTGGTTACTTCCCTGTCCAGCCAGAATTGATGAGCATTCATTAGCTCAGGTAAACTGTTTCAGTGGGTATCTTGATCTCTTTGCTCATATTCTCACTCCTCCCGCTCTTTGACTAGGCTTTGGGAGCCCAACCCAGTGCTCTGCTGTGGATCTCTGCCTCTGCTTCCATCAATTGCTGGAAAAAGTTTCTATGGTGATATTTAAGATTGTCATCAATCTGACTACAGAGCAAGGCCAGTTCGGGCACCCTCTTCACTATTGTTTACAATCTTAGCTGGGGTCACCCTTGTGGATTCCAAGGAATTTTTCTCATGGCAGGCTTCTTGATAGACCTATAATGGCTCCCTCAATCAAGATATCTCTTTCATTGCTCTCCATCTCTGTCCTTCCTCCATCTCAACCATCCCATTCCGTAAGTTCTCCTCCACTCAGACCCTTGTTCCCTCCTCTTCCACTTCTGCCCTTCCTTCTCCCACTCCCAATGCTTCTAATATTCTCAGGAGATCATTTCTATTCCCTCTTCCCAGGAGGGTCTATATATGTTTCTCTAAGGATACTCCTTGTTACTTGGCCTCTCTGGAGTCATGGATTATAGGCTTGTTATCCTTTGATTTAAAGTTAGAATCCACTTATGAGTGAGTACATAACATGTTCATCTTTCTGTGTCTGGGTTACCTCACTCAGAATGTTTATTTTGTTTCTGGTTCCATCTATGTACATGCAAATTTCAAGATGTCATTGCTTTATATTGCTGAGTAGTACTCCATTATGTAAATGCATCACGGTTTCTTTATCCATTATTTGGTGGAGGGGCATCTAATTTGTTTCCAAGTTCTTGATATTACAAATAATGCTGCTATGATCATAGTTGAACAAATATCCTTGTAGTATGATCAAGCATTGTTTAGGTTATGCCTAAGAGTGGTATTGCTGGGTTTTGTGATAAGTTGATTCCCAATTTTCTGAAAAAAAAAATACTCATTTCCAGACTGTTGTACAAATTTGCATTCCCACCAGCAATGGAGGAGCGACCCCTGCAGTACATCCACTCCAACATTAATTATCATTGCTGTTTTTGATTTTAGCCACTCTGATAGGTGTGAGATGGTATATCAGAATTGGTTTGATTTGCATTTCTCAGATGGCTATGGATGCTGAAAATTTCCTTAAGTATCTTTTGCCCATTTGAGAGTCTTCTTTTGAGAATTCTCACTTAGACATGTATCCCATTTTTTAAATTAGATTATTTGATATTTTGATGTCTAATTTCTTGAGTTCTTTATATATTTTGGAAATCAGTTCTCTGTCTGATATAGAGTTGGTGATGATATTTTCCCATTCAATGGGCTACCTTTTTGACTTATTGACTGTATTCTTTGCTTTATAGAAGCTTCTCAGTTTCAGGAGGGCCCATTTATTGGACACATTTATCTCAGTGTCTGTGATATTGGTGTTATATTTAGAAAGTGGTCCCCTGTGCCCATGTATTGAAGACTACTTCCCACTTTCTCTTCCATCAGGTTCAGTGTAGTCATATTTATATTGAGGTCTTTAGTCCATTTGAACTCTATTTGCATTTTTCCACACGTTGACATCAAGTTATGCTAACACTGTTGGTTGAAGATGCTTTTTTTCTATTGTTGTATAATTTTAGATTCTTAATCAAAAATCAGGTATTCATATGTGTGGATTAATACCTTGGTCTTCAATTTGATTCCATTGGTCAACCTGTCTCTTTTTATGCCAATAAAAACAGATTTGAAATTTGAATGGGAATTATATTGAATTGCTTTCGGTAGGGCTGCCATTTTTATTATGTTGATTCTACCTATACAAGAGCACAAGAGATCTTTTCATTTTCTTTTATCTTCTTCTATTTATTTATTTGAAGAATTAAAAGCTTTTGTTGAAGAGGTTTTTCTCTTCTTTGGTTAGTTTTTCCTGAAGATATATTATGTCATTTCTGGCTGCTGTGAATGGTGATGTTTCTCCAATTTCTTTCTCAGCTTTTTTATCATTTGAATATAGGAGGGCTACTGATTTCTTTTTTAGTTGATCTGTTTCCTGTCACATTCCTGAAAGTATTTATTAGCTATAGAAGTTCCCTAGTAGATTTCTTGGGGTCACATATGTATACTATCATATCATCTTCAAATAGTGAAAGTTTGACTTCTTCATTTGAGTCCCCTTTATTTTCTCTTATTGCACTAGCTAGAACTTCAAGAACTATGTTGAATAGATATGGAAAGAGTGTACAGACTTGTCTTGTTCCGAATTTTAGTGGAATCACTTTGAGTTTCTCTCCATTTAATTTGATGTTGGCTGTCTGCTTCTTGTATATTACTTTTATTTTGTTTAGATATGTTCCTTGTATCCCTGATCTCTCCAAGACCTTTATGATGAAGGAATGTTGGATTTCATCGAATGCTTTTCAACATCTAATGAGATAATTTTATGGATTTTTTACTTTCAGTGTATTTATATGGTTGATTACATTGATAGACTTTTTTTTTTCATGTTGATCCATCCCTGAATTTTTGGGATTGAAGCCTAGTTAATCATGGTAGATGATTTTTTTTGTGTGTTTTTGTATTTGGTTTGCCAGTATTTTATTGACTATTTTTGCAACTATGTTCATGAGGGACAATGGTCTGTAATTCTCTTCCTTGGTTGAGTCTTTATGTGGATTCAGTATCAAGATAACTGTAACCTCATAAAAAGAATTTAGCAAAGTTCCTTCTGTTTCTATTTTTGGAACAATTTGAGGAGTATAGGTATTTGCTTTTCTTTGATGTTCTGGTAGAAATTTTACTAAAACTATCAGACGCTGGTCTTTTTTTGTTGTTGTTGTTGTTGGGAGGCTTTTGATGACATCTTCTATTTGTTTTGAAGTTATGTCTACTTAAATGGCTCACCTGGTCTTGATTTATGTTATCTTTGACTGATGAATCTATTTTCTCTATGGTATCTTTAACACCTGTGATTCTCTCTTCTGTCTCTTATATTCTGTTGGTTATGCTTGCATCGGTAGTTCCTGATCATTTAACCAAATTTTCCATTTTCTGAATTCCCTCAGTTTATATTTTCTTTATTGCATCTATTTCAGTTTTCAAGTTTTGAACTATTTTGTTCACCTGTTTGTTGGCTTTTTCTTGGTTTTCTTGAGTTTATTTAAGATACTTTTTGATTTCTTTCAATTTTTGTCTTTTCCTTCATTTCTTTGGGGGATTTCCACTTTAAGGGTATCTATCATCTTCATAAAGTTATATGTAAGGACATTTTCTTCTGCTTCCTCTGGGTTAGGATGATTAGGTCTTCCTGTTTTATGCCTACTGGGTTTTGACATTACCATGTTGCTTTTTACAATGTTGAATGAATTTTTGCTTTTGGTGCCTACACATCACTTCCTCTAATTGGTGCCAACAGTATCTTTGCTTCTTGGTCCAATCCTTGCAGTTGGTATTTGTGTCTTAGGAAACTTTCTTAGTCTACTCTGTGCAGTCATTCTCTGTGTCTCAGGGAACTGCTGAGATCTTTCTTGCCCTTCTCTCATGATCTGCTGTGTGCCATTGCCACTTCTGGTTAAGAGTTCTTCTGAAGTATCAGGGGATAGGTGGATTTGGGGGCAGAGTGGGCCTTGTAGCTTAGAGGATCAAATCAATTGGGGGTGGGGGTTGGAGATGACTACCTGCAGAAAGCTTGCCTGCTGGCTGGCTAGTGAAGCTGAGGGAGGTAGTATCTGACTTTCTTATTTCTGGGTTATTTTAAAGTAAGACAAGTCTTGCTTCAGTACCTTTCACTGTAGTTCATGCTAATTCTTTCAGATCAAATAAGCCTTTCAAATATTTTCTATTAATTAAATTTTGTTTAAACAGCTTTTCACGTGTGCAATGCACATTCATGTTTCCCACCTCTATCTCCCTACCACTCCTTTGAGTGACTCTCCTCCCCACAAATCTCTCTCACACATTAATACTAATCCTTTTATTTTGTGACCTACCATAGGCCATGTAACTCATCTCAGATGCACCTGCTACTCTCTACTTACCCAACTTCACATGTTTT